CGTAAGCGAGTTTTATTGTAATGCCATGGTGTTCTAAACTCCTAAGTGCGATTTTAAAAGCAACAGAAACACTAGGTGGCACGCCCGTGATTCTGTGAGTTAGACACCAAGGTATTATGAAATCACTTGCGCAATAACTGGGTTTACAAGCTACAAAAGCTATATGTGTGACTTAATGTGTTTTTTAATAGGAGATTTTCTTGTAGGAGACCCTCCGCCAGTTATATTTTTCGCCATTTATTAGTTAAAGAATTGTTTTCTCGTTACAAATAAAACACGCGTGGCAAAATTCCCATTTCCGGCACTTTTAGTACGTCCTAGAAATTGGAAAGCACAGTAAGTAACCGTTTATTCGGACGAAGGCTTTTCTTTTTCTTTTTAATATTTATTTAGAACAATACTGTTGCGATCCGTTCGCGGAGAATCTCTGCTAATGCGTTTACATTTTGAAAAAAATTTTTTTGTGGTCTCGCGTTCTCCTCGCGCGCGTCCTTTTGCTTTTAATCACCTGGAAACTTTGGTTTTACGTGGTAGTTACAAAGAATCGTTTCGGCGCGGCCCGCACAATGTAAATAAATTTGAGTAAAGTGGCCGAGTGTTCTGAAGTTGCTCTCTTTGGAAATTTTTAAAATAGAATCGAAGATGTATTTACTGTGAGGTTCCGGTTATCGTTTGGGGACAAAAGCATATTTTGATTGTGTTAATTGCTCCTGTCGGATGAAATGTCATATGAATTAGCAAGATGACGAGCGAGTAATAAGTTCCAGGGGTTTCTCATGGTTTCCGACCTTCGGTCCTGCACTATGTTGTCAACACTTCCTTTGTTTTATATTGCGCAATCGGTCAATTCAGATGACCGTCGTACACGTATCCAAGGCTTGTGGGTCATCATGCTGACAAAAAGACTGAAGGAAAAGCAGGTTCTTGTCAATAAAACCCAAGGTAAATGTCAGTTGTCAGTTAATTTTTGACCATCTGTCACTTGCATGTCAGTTAACCCGATCCAGACCTCTGTCCGTTTGAGCCAGGCTTCCGTTTCTTTTGCTGTCCTTCTGATATTTGATTTTTCTAAAGACCGTCCTGCCTTCTTTCAACAAGCGTTTCTTCTAAGATTCCTTTATTCACAGAGGTGGCTTGTTGTTTATCTTCTCTAAGTTATCGTTTTTGTATGATTACACAGTCTGGAAACGCTCACTGAACTATCTAAACCATGCATACATGCTACGACCTGCTATGACGAGTGACGGTAAGTATAAACCTAACGTGTTTTTATTTTCTTTTTGCACAATTTCTTTAGTCATTCTTCGTATTAGTACAATCGCTAGAGACAAACGTTTTAAGGGGTGGTTTTCCTTGGAAAAGACAACGTAGTTATGATGTTTTGTTTCGCTCAAAATTCATGAGAAGCGGCCTCAATTTGCAATTTCGCAACACAGCTCCCACATTTCTCAATTTTCTTCTATTACAACCCCTGTCCACACAACTTTGCAACAAATCGAAGTACAAACCCTTCATTTTTATGTCGATTTAATGGAATATAAGGGAACTATACCCGGTGAATGCGCCTAAGCCCCAAGGAGCAGACGTGGACAATACCCAACGTGTAACGACCGAGGGATGTTTCCAAATACGCCACTAGTGTCTCAAATGGTTTTCTCTGTGCTTTAGAAGCCTGTTTGGCTATTTGGAGTTGCCCTAAAAACATTTATTTTGATATTTATCTGTTCGGACGTCTTAGCGGAACTTTGGTTGTCACGAAAATGAGTCTCAGTCTCGTCTCGTCCGAAAGTATCAGTTACCCTTAGGGGTCCGGTTGAAAGTTTGAGCCTTGCTTTCATCATTACAAAATTATAGGGGACGTTTTGACTTTATAACGAAATTTTTAGGAGACCTTTTATAACAATAATCGCAATATCTTGGTATTAAAATGTGAATAACACAACCTCCGAAAATCGTAGTTAAGCTATTACAAAAAAAAAACTATTTACAACTCAGATTAAGTTATCACATAAAATTATCGTGGCTATATGCCCGGCAATTAGAAAACTTTCTGGAATTTCAGCAAAATCCCTTTTCCTAATCATTTGAAGGTATATTCTATCTTCATTTAGATCGAATTTAGAATTACCAAGCGATCACGGGAAAACAAAACCGGCTTCGAAGTTGAACGGCTGTGTTTCGACACTGAGTAGCATCTCGTGACTCACGGTCAAGATTTCAGTCTACGAGCAAGCTCTCCATTTGGGGGATATTGTGAAAAGTTGACAAGCGAGAGACACGCGAGAGGAGACGCGAAAGCGGGGGCGGGCGAGTTTCCTTTCTTTAGACTACGAGTAGTCCCCCATCTTTCCTCAGGGATAGTAGAGCGAGTGAAACGCGAGCGCGGGTGAAAATCACCCCACGCGAGAAAAGGCGACACGCCGCGGGGAGAGAGAAAAATGAGGGACTACCTTATTATAGGAAATTAACGCTTCATGAAATTAAGGTTTTGAAAATTAACGCGACTTTAATTAACGCGAATTTAAAGGAAAACGACTTTCGAATAAAGAAAATTAACGCGAAAGAGGAGGTAGAATTTCTTAATAAATAAATTAACGCGATTAATTAGGCGAAATCAAAGGAGAAGATATCGACATCACCCCTGACAGCGACAACGATGAAGATGAACGCGAAATATTCATGTAAACCTTCGCCTTAGCTTTTGTGAAAGATGAAAAACAAAGGGTGAATGGAAAGAAAGAAAGTTTGTAGTTAATGTTTTTTAGGTGTCAAGAATGTCTGGACAGGTTCCAAAATTGAGGTTAAAATACGTGAAATTAAGAGCGCGGAAATTAACGCTGCACTTAATTAACGTCGCGGAAATTAACACTCCACAAAATTAACGCGACTTAAACCAACGCGAATTTTAACGATTCGCGTTAATTTCATGGAGCGGTAATTTCCTATAATAAGGTAAAGACAAAGCCCAAGCTTTTGAACTTATGCGTTGCTCTCACAACGCAAAACTCTGATTGGCTCTTCCATGGAAATCTGTCAACATCTGTCAAAAACGCGCCAGCCGCTATCAACACTCGACATAATCACAATTTACAGAACAAGTAACTAGAGCAGAACAAATAACAGCACAGAACAAATAACTAGAGTTGCTCTTGTAGAAGCAACTAAGAAGAAAGCCAACCCGGCAACTGATGAGGTTCGTGTGGAGAACCGAAACCATGGTCTTGCCTGATCACAAAGTGGGAATAACAGAACAGGCGCCAGGCTGTTAAGCTTATTCAAAAGTTTTCACCAAGGCTCCAGTCCAAACACTCACATTATCTCAAGAAAAACAAGCGGCAGATAAAATTCAGTTAAAAATGACTGAGTCACATCGCAATCCTCTATAGTTGATGTAGGTTTAGTTTAAGCTGCAATCCATTCTTCGAGATTTGGATATCACTATCTATCCGTCGCGCTAAAAACGCTAACGAGCTGGGCCCAGCGTGTCAAAACATTGCAGGAAACCGTCACATTCACGGCCAAAAAGAAAATCGCTTAAAATTATTCAGATCCAGGAGGCAATCGCTGGAGAAATGAAACAACCCAAAACCCTTACTTAGCCGCATTGAAGAGCTTTACTTTTGAAAAGAGATCAAAGAAAGTGCTGTTGCATCAGAGGGCAAATCATTCCGACCATAAGCAATAACCGCAGAAAATTAATATGCATGTCACGACCTTTCAGTATGAAATAAGCGGCAAAAATCACATTTGCTCAGTCAAAATGTTTTCCTCCAGGGCACTATCTACCCGTCAGAGAAAAAAAAAATCATTGGAACAAGCAACATTTTGGCATGAGTAAAAGTTGTGTGTTGCCTACACTATCAAGTTCTTCACGCGAATCACCTGAGAAAAATTAGTAACGGAGCTCTGGCGCGCGAAGCGCACCTGTGGAGCACCATGGGTAAGTAAATCTACCCGTCCCAGAAAATTAGGTAATCACTTGACAGTACACCGCCCACTCTTCAACCTCGTCCCCAGGGCTTTTTCCTCAAAAAATGGGTGCCCGCCCGTCCGTCCGCACCACTGGAAAACCAATGTTACGTTCAATCTCGCGCTTTCTAGCTAGTCTGGAGCACAGGAAGACTGATATTGCACACATATTGCACATCAATGTTGTGATCAATTGAGAGCTGTCAGAACAGGGTGTCCGCTGACCAGTATCACCTGACCGTGTCGCGGGCTCAGGTGTTGACCCATCGAGGTCGAGTATCTTTTTGAAGTTATCCGCTGACAAGTCACTAGTTTTCAAATGATCGTAGGCTCAAGTTTAATTTTTTTTAATTCATATGAAATATGTTGTGTTTTATATGTGCCGCACAATTAAAATTTTGATTTCAAACTGATCGACCTCAGGGAAGACATGCCAGTTGCTTTAGACTTTTCTCACCAAGGTCACGCGTTGGTCACGCCACGTCCAATTTTTATGCTCTGATTGGTCAAAATTTGACAGGTGGGTTCATGCGGAAAATTTATGCAGCATCTTGAAACTTGTTTACTCTGACAGCTGAGCTGACAGAGTTTTGTGTCAACTTGTGATGTTTTTAACTGTCTTTTTCCACTGAATGTACAAAATGAAATTCAGCTGCTATCAAGAGTCTTCTGTTATTCATTGATAGTTTGTTTAGTGGGTTTTTGGTTGAGAAATACGTCGCTTGTCAACGTCGGAAATCCGATTTCGGATGGCATCGTTTTCGTTTTTCACCTTCCTTGATTCGTAAGAGGGTTGAAAAGTCTGAAGCGATTCTGGGCTTATTTGATAGTTTTCAGTGCATCTCGAATGGTAAGCCTAAGTAATTATTGTATTTGATGTTTGTTTTTATAAGTAATTTAATGAAGTCGAGCGTAGTTTATGGGGCTGTTTAGTTTATGCGCGTGTGTAAGATTTGAGACAATGATCTGACCGAGTATCAGGTTTGATTATAAGCTTATAGAACTTTAAAAAGCCTTTAGACATTTTCTCACCTCAAATAGAAAGAAAACGTTCCAAAGAATATTTAGTTATAATTCTGGTTGTAAAGGAAAGCTTTGAGCGATTTTCTTGCCTCGAGTACATCTTTGAAGAAGCAACTGGCACCGGGAAGCCGGCTTAAAACACAAACAAGGATCTTCAGAGACACTTTAATACTTGTCTTCGCGAATGAAAATTGTTGTCTCTGTATATGTTTCACCGAACTATTTTTCTTTTACTGATTGTTAGTAGTCTCTTTTGCAATTTTAATCGCTCTGCCGTTTGTTTTCAGTCGCTCATGAACATCGCTTGCAGGTATAGTCAAAATACCGCACGTATCAAACGCTTTTGAAGATTACACATCGTTATAGAGCCATTATGTTGAAGCGTATAACTCTATTAATCTTGATTTAAACAGTCGACTTTGGTGCGTGTCAAAAGTGAGAACCGGCTCGCCGTATAGGTGATTTTGGAAATTTTTTTAACGGTTTCGCGTGCTTCGATGGTCCAGAATATTGAATAAGTGCATTTGTATTGCAAAATTATGAAATACTGCATTCTGTCCGAGGTCTGTTGACGACGGGAAAGCGCGCAGAAAGGACTAAACACGACTTCCGGTCCTCAATTTGCCGCTCTGCCATTGGCCAAGCCTTTAGTTTGATTTGTGCGCGCCGTCGTCAACTGACGATGCCGTTCTGTTACTAAATCAGCCTTTTCTCTCTTCCCCCGCGCGTCGCCTTTTCAAGCGTGGGGTGATTTTCACGCGCGCTCGCGTTTCGCTCGCTCTATTATCCCTGAGGAAAAATAGGAGACTACTCGTAGTCTACATTTCTTTGGCCCCTCGCGGCTTCGCCGCTCGCTCGCGCGTGATCGCGCGGCCGCTTCGCTCGCCCAAATGGGAGAGCTTACTCGCAGGCTAGTCTGAAAGAGGAGCTGGAAAGTTAAAAAGCCTGCTCTTCAGCTCCAGAATACATGCATACTAGCCTCGATTAGTTTCCCCAAAAAATCATAGAGAGAGTGCTTTGATTTTGAAACTTTATTTCGCAACCTCGAGCCGCCTTGAGCTAGACTCTAGACACGGCTTGATAACCGGCTTGAGTGTACTGGTGGTGCTGCTGAATCTTGGAAAAGCGTTCCTCTAATTTTGCAAAATTTATGCGAATTCTCCTCAAAATATTCTATCATGGTTTAGAATTGGTAAGTGACGAGAAACAACAGATTTTCTTAACCAGAGGTTTGGTTTCACTGGGTTTTAAGTACATAGCCTATGTTGTGGTTGACTCACCGATCACGGGCACGGTTTCTCCTCTGTCTAAACAGCCTTGATAAAGACTTTCGCTCCGTTTCGTCGAATACCGTAAGCCTTCACGTATGTCTCTGAGAAACAAAGCTTCTGGAACCTCTCTTCCCACCAATTTTTATTATTAAACCAGACCGTTTATAACAATTTACTTGTTTTTACATATCTCAGGTAACTTCAGGTCGAGAACGGCTGAGCCGAGACTCTGGTCACATCGAAGATCTTGCCGTTTCTTACACATCTCGGGTCAAGATAGCCATTTCTAGTTACAAGTGATTTTGGGTCTTGGGTCTTGGGTCTTAGGTCTTCGTTTTCTACCCACCCCAGAGACAAATATATGTCACGCACGTAGGCTAGGACGACTTTTACCTCCTGTTAAACTGCCATTTGTTCTATAATTATATTGTTTTCTTTTAAACACCGGGTAGATTATGGTGTAGAGGAGAATGTTATTTTTGCCTCTTGTCCCACATTGAGAGCTTATGAAGCTGGTCTGTTTCACGCACATTGATTTCCTGTTGTATTTGTTTGTGACAGGATTTGATCTCTGATGCAGTATACCATTAAATCAAAATCAATAATAAATAACATCAATAATAGTCAATAAAAATCAATAGCAATTAATTGATTGATATTGAAAATCAATAAAAATCAAAACCGCAGTCTTGAGTGATGTTCGATTTTTATTGTTTTTCATTTTATTGAACCCTAGAATGTGCTTTCTTTTTTCTTTTTCTGGTGGTCTCGTCACACTCCTATAAACCCCGGGAAATAAATCCAAGAAAAGAACCGAGAATAAGACCAGGGATAAATACATAAGAGTGGAAATCGAAATTACTGTAGTCCCAGCTGAAGTGTGATTTGTTTAAATTATTTTACAGACTGTTTTACTTCTCGGTTTACTGTCCTTACTTTCACCTCTTTTAAAGCGTTAAAAAAGCGTTACAGGCCGAAGACCGGTTCAAAAAGGAGGATTTGGTCCAAAATGGGTTTTTCCCTACCTAAAAATTGGCTTTAACGGCCGTTACCAATTTGTTTAAAATTCGCCATTTACCATATAAAATTGTCAGATTTACCAAATTCAGCATCAAGCAGGTTTGTAAACCGAAGAAAAAACCAACTCTCATGTTGACGTTAAAAAAGGTTGCAGTTTCTTCATTTTTTTTTTCGAAATGCCTGGATCAAAATTTTAAGAAGGTGGTTTTGACCGTAGACTGTCCGTGACCAGTGTGATAATCCGGATTCCCACAACTGGATTCCGGATTCTTTGTCAGTGGAACTTCGGGATTCCGGATTGCAATAATTGCTGCGAGTATTCCGGATTTCAAAGCCCAGGGGCGCGATCCGTTCGACCAAAATTTCCGGAAACTTCGGTCCAAAACTCGATGGACTGGTTCGGTCCAACCGGAAAAGTTTCGAAAAAACGCACCTTTTGAGGTGGACCACTTTTCCCGGTCGGACCGGTCGGAATTTTGGTTGAATGGATCGCACCCCTGGATTTCAGATTCCACAGAAAAAAATTTTTCGAATTCCTGGCTCCACAAGCAAAAATTTTCCAGATTCCGGAATCCGAATTCCCTTACATGGGGCGATAATATCCGGAATGCAATCACTGAATCATAATGTGTTTAAGGTCTTTCGATACCTTTTTTCGGTTACCATACCGACATTTTTAAATCGCCTTAAAGGTGATTTTATCCTCGTCTGATCGCTATGAAATTTTGACCGCACTGCCGCGACATTGAATTGGCGTTTGTCAACTATAGTTTTAAGTAAGATCGACCACTATGGCAACAATAAACAAAAAATTTGAAA